AATAAACTGCCGCGTGATCCAACAGATGCCCTCAAATGTACGGTAGTTAGTGATTGATTCACACAACAGCCTGCCGGAAAGAAAAAGAAAAAGAACTCAGAATTTCCGCTTCTTCTTAGCTGGGGCTTTGCTCTTCGCCTCCAGCTGTCTCTTTAATTCTTCGCGCTTCCTATCTGCTCTTTCCTGATCTACTTCCTCTCTCGCTGGCTGTTCCATTGTCGTTGGCTGTCGTCGTTCAGCCGATGGAAGCCTTGGTGGTTCAGAACTGTGGTTTGACATCTCCCTAGAGAAATCAACGTTGCCCTTCTCTGGCTGAAGCGCCAAAGTAGTGGTCCCATCACTTTTTGAGGTTTTGCCCCCGATTACACCAAGTTTACCAACTCTCTTCGTTCTAGTCTCTATCGAAGGAGATGTTGCGGGAGGTGGCTGGTCTGTTGTACTTAGGGATTTTATCGTTGATAGAGATCGAGGCTCACTAGGGGTAGCTTGCCTTTGTTTCTTCTTACCACCGATGACTCCCAACCCTCGCGATTTACCCTGCGCTTTATCTGATAACTTTGGTTTAGGCTTCGTTGGTGAAGTTGGTGCTAAAGCCACCCTTTCATGGTCAGACCCTGAATCTATTTGGTCGTCGGCTAATTGTGGTGCGAGCGTAGATGGAGCTGCAGGAGGTGAGGGCTGGGGCGCTCCAGTTTGTTTTTTCCCACCGATAACCCCTAGGCCTCCTGATGGTTTTGCAGAGCTTTTCTGCCTTGGCGGAGGTGATGGTTCATTTAAAGGAGTTTTTCCGAGGTCTTCACCCTGCCCAATGTTGATGGGGGTTTTCTCGCCGCCCTTGAGTTGCTTTAATCTTGGGGGCGTTTCTTGCCGCTAAAGACAAATTTAGCTGCGGTACTTCTAATATTCTAAAGGTTGTACTTACTTCAAACTCGTCATCCTCGGTTTCAGTAGCCGTATCAGTATCTGCTTCCAACACATCTTTAGGAGGCTCGCGTCCTTTTTTCGGTTCGCCTTCTTCTCGTATAGAAGCCGAAGTAGTCTTGGTTACAGTAAGTTTCTTCCACCACTTGTCTGGTGGTAGTTCAAGACCTCTTGATCGATTTGGGCCGTTAGAATTGGAAATCTCCGCCAAAATATTAGCGGCAAGACCAGATGCAGAAGCTGACGCACTGACATCCTCAAGCCAGGCTTTTTCGTCGAAAGGCGCACCACCTTTTATATGTTTGGTGGCCTGGGCCAGCGTTGTGCCTTTCTGACCCGTCCGTAAGCCAGAGATACCAGGAAATATAGTACTTAGATCAATGCCCACAGTTTCGATCTTATCGAAGAGCTTCGCGAGAATCCAGTCTTTCCTATGCAGTTGATCAATCAGGGATCGTTGGTGCGACTTCCAGTCAGCTTCCGCCTTTATGAGGGGAAGAAGTAGTTGGCCAGTAACGGCAGACTGCGGCTCCTTGGAGAGACGTGCAGCCCACTTCAGAGGCTGAAGTGGAGCCGGCAGTTTGGTAGATGTAGTTAGCTCCAGCAAGTCTCCTGAGCTATGATACAGGGCCACGGTGCTTCCCGGCTGGCTACGCAGTGCGTCTTCTATCTTTTGCAGGAGGACTCCAAACTGTTCCGTGTCCTCGCTCGGGTCGATTGTGGAGTCATCCTCATCAGCTCTTCTCAGGATATCTTGGCGGGTCAGATGTTCAGACCAGATATTGGTAAGATCAGTAATGTACAACTCGTAGCCTTTCGATGTTGAGGAATATTTGAAAAGGAGTGGAGGTATTTCCCCCCGATTCAAAAGAGGCAATCTCTGCCACTTAACGGACATTTCTTAGTATTAAGTAATGAAATTTTGAATACCATTAGAAATGACTGGAGCTGTGGTTTTAAGATATACAAACAGTAGTCTTCTACTAGGCGGCAAAGCCGATAAGGCGGAAACCTTTACTGTTCCGCTGCTCCACAGTTTCTTGGCGGACGCTGTCTCCAAAAAAGCATCAGACGAAAGCTTCACGTTTTTGTTGACTTTAGGTTTCAACGCTCACAGCGATATTGCCTATTTCCGACTTCCTCCTCTCATTGCACTCTATAGACGTGTCAGTTATGTCGTCACGTTTTCCGGACAGATCAGGTTCGACGAAGCGAAGCCGATCGCGATCTCCTTCATCGCGTCAACCCCAGAAGCTCCCCCGCAGATACGATGAGAGGGACTACCAGAGCGATGGAAGAGGCCGACCGGCGCAGTCGCAGTCGAGGAATATGAAGGATCAGATGCGGTTAAATCAATTACAAGAAGACGAGCAAGTGCGTGAATGGGTAGCGCAGGAGGACGTTTTCGTGCTTAAACAGGCCAAAAAGAAGGCTGAGATTCGTGTCAAAGAGGGCCGGGCGAAGCCGATTGACTGGCTTACTGTTACCCTGCGATTTATCGATCCGACGAGGAACCCTCTTGATGACGAGATTGCGGACTCAGACCTGGACATCGTGGATCCGGATGGCGTTTTCGAAGGACTGTCTCAGAGTCAATTGCTGGACTTGGAGAAGGATATTGATACATTTTTGAGTTTGGAGGCAAATCCGCAAAACAGGGATTTCTGGAAGGTAAATCACATCAGGGTCTGGTTTATCTAAAGTTATTGCTTACCGGTCTGCACAGACTATGAGAATTATCTGTCGCGACCGTCAGAAAATCACGGCTCCCGAAGGGCGTGCGCTGAACTCCGTCGCTGCGGATATCAATAGGCTCTTGAGCCCTAAAACGTACGAGCAACTTCAAACCCTTGAGATACAGGTCAAGAAAAAGTTGGATTCCAATGAACCCATCGATACCGATTACTGGGAAGAACTACTACGGAGTCTCACCGTCTGGAAAGCACGCGCCAAGCTGAAGAAGGTCTTTCAGGCAGTCATAGACGAACGTGTTCGAGGATTACGCCAACAACAACGCGACGAGGCGGAGTCAGTTCGAGCAAAGCTTGCACCTCTGGCGCCGGTTATCCAGCCATCGACCGAGGGCAAAACACAAGCTGGGTTAGATGAAGAATTCCGTGATCTTGATCCTGACCCGCTGCTCCAGGTTCGCCCGGAGGATAAGGTCTTGGAGATAGTGGATGAGTCGAACCTTTTGGATCAGGTGGTAGGTCACAATGGCTTTTAAGCAGTACAGGCCATGCGCTGATGGAATTTTTTAGGCTCGCGAACGACAAAAGATTCTAAAGATGGGGTTTGTACCTCTCCGCCAGAGGCAAGCAGAGAAATCCTCTGCTGTTCCTGTGAACCAAACACCAAAGTTTCCTGCCGTTACTGGCTCCTCCCGCTTTTCAACCATACCCAATGAAGATTTCTCACAGGCAACAAAGGCACTCTATGAGCGAGAGCTTGCGAGAGGCGTCAGTGAGAATGAAGAGATCTTCACAGGTGAAGAATCTGTAAGCACGGGGTTCCAGCCTCAGTGGGCGAACAAGTACCGGCCGCGCAAGCCGCGATACTTCAACCGGGTGCAAATGGGTTACGAGTGGAATAAGTACAACCAGACTCATTATGACCATGATAACCCACCACCCAAGGTGGTACAAGGCTACAAATTCAACATCTTCTACCCCGACCTCATCGATAAGACGAAAGCGCCGACCTATCGTATTGAACGTGAGCATGGAAGGAAGCGCGGCCAGTCGTTTGCAGCAGCTGGTGAAGAGGATACTTGTCTTATTAGATTCATGGCCGGGCCCCCTTACGAAGATATCGCATTTCGAATCGTTGATAAGGAATGGGACTATAGCGCCAAGAGGGAAAGAGGCTTCAAGAGCACCTTTGACAAGGTAGACGCGCCGATTGTTTAGCCCCTGATTCTGACTTCAAGTTGAATCTTCTGACACAACCCATAGGGTATCTTACAGCTACATTTTCAATTCAAGCGGGTGAGATCCCTCCTTTCTGTCGCACAAAGCATTTCCTCTCTAACATCCATGATAGGTCTACTACCGAAAGTAAAGCCTTAAGAGGAACCTCTACTCGCATCGACATCGTTATATATTCATCTATCTCGACCAACTGGTGTATGGGCGCATATGGCTATAATAATGGTATTTTCGGAGTTTCAACTTAGGGCACTATCTACTATCAATGTATCCATAAATGCTATAGCAGAGCAACGCACAACCGGGGCGATCTAGTTGGTCAGGAAGTATTAACCACCAGCTACAGTATTGGACCAAATTCGATCAACAGACGCTAGAACGTATCATATCATCGGACAAATTGCATTAGGTACATAACCTCCATGAGGTTTAAGCTTCCTGACTCGCAGGTTATGGCTCCCACGTGTGTGCAACCATGGACTAGGGCTTATTTCCACTACCATCAACGCCCCAACACTGGCTTATCGCCGTGAGCTTTTACCATCCAACGTCACGCGTTTCTCTTCCCATCATTTTCTTGAGGAGTGGGTCACGTGTCGCTGGGGGATGAACGCCTCCTCCACGCGTACGTACGGCCACTCAGATCTGAAATGCCGTCCTTCTAGCTTGGCCTTCAGCGAATGAAAGAAACCTCTGCGACGATGCGGCTTTGGTGCCACCCAAGCCACCCGCATAGCGTTTCAATGGTTCCGGCTGGTCGGGGAAAGCGGGAAAGGGCCTGAGTGTCTGCAGGATACATCCACAGAACATTGAGAGCTTCCGGGAAGTTGCCAGAACGTCTCCTTTAGAAAGGCTTCCACCTAGCCTGGCGGACTGTGGTCAATATGCAAAGAAGAGCCAGCTCTCATGCAGCTGTCCGGTTCCACAACTCCCCTCTCGTCCTGGTCTGTCAGGCGTTGTAAATCAAGAAGTACGTACATTGCCATCATCTGTAGCACCGAAGATCCAGCCTCTACTAAATGCTGCAAAGCCATTGGCTCTGCGTGTACAATGACTATTTGTTCCACTGCTTGGGAAGTCTTTCGAACGAAGCACCACTACACCACCACCACCATCCACAACATCCCCAGTGCACATGTTGACTGGGGAGTTCCTTGGTTGACTTTTTTTCTTTTTCTTTAATTTTTGGTCCCAATTATCCAATTTTTTTCTAATTCATTTTTTCTTTCTCTCTCCCAGACCGTCTTTTGTTTGTTGGGAATGGCGGAGACACATACAAACAGCAGACAGACCATCAGGCCGTATGTATGAGCTGGCATTTCTTCTGGCCTCACAGCTTCAGTTATGTCCATCTTCTGAATGGTCAGAGGTCTTTATCTGTCGACTTCGGCCTTTTTTCTTTTTCCCCCCTTTAGCCTCTCTCGTTATCTTCACATCTTCCAGGGCTACCCTTTTTCAACCTGTTGACTTCCGTCTCCCTGTCATGGCTTGTACCCATTAGAAACTTATATTATCTATAATATTTCCTTCTTTCGTGAACCGTCCCCTCAGATGCAAATCTAACCAGTCTAGATTGTGCCGTCTGTGATTGATATTAGTTTGCTTGCTTGCAAGACAACATGGATCGTCTCTTGGTGTCTCAGGACCAATGCGTCGACTTAACTCCTTCACCTCAGGAAACTACGCTACAATACGCTCTAAAACGAACAGAGACGTCTACATCCTCACACGCTGTTATCAATGGCGTACCTTTGGGTGATCTTCGCCACCACTACCCCTGTCCAGCGGTTGAACACTGGGTGAGTTCCGGGCCCAGCAGTCCAACATCGATGATGCCTTGTCAAAACCCATGGACCATGGAAACTTCAGCCTTCACGCTACCATCATCTCACTCGTCTACACCGTCAATGCCTGATGGTCTTCCACGTTTCTTTCTTTCCTGCGACAGCGACTGGCTACCATCATCCATGACGTCGGATCCGACCTCAGGGCAACTAAGGCCGGGGCCATCTCGTACCAATGATAGCAGGACATCCTCTGAGTGGATGCGGGAGCCAGACAATGATGTTTCCTATGCTTTAAAGCCTGATCGCTACGCAGCAACATCTGAAGCTTTTGGGCCGCATCAACGCCCGTCTGGCATTCTTACAGCAACCTGTCCCACTGCAGCTCTAACGCCACCGTCACCAGCTTTCTCGGCTTCGTCGCACCAAATGAGCTCTCCTGTAATCAAATCCGAACTTGGCCGCGCTGATACGCGAGCAACAACAACTAACGCAGAAGAGGAGGCGGGCGTAGACCCGCCCTACTCCACACTTATTTACCAAGCTCTCCGAGACGCACCCGGTAAGAAATTGTCTCTTCAGGCGATTTACGGCTGGTTCGAAGAGAACACCACAAAAGGAAAAGATCGCAGTTCCAAAGGGTGGCAAAACAGCATTCGACACAACTTATCCATGAACGCGGTATGTCTATTGCACAAGTTGATACTTCTCTTTCTGTACTCTCTTGCTAAGAAACCAAATCTGCTACAGGGTTTCGAAGCTGTTCGAGTGGAGAAAGCACCGGGCAAGAAATCCCTGAATTACTGGCGTCTGACAGATGAGGCAATAACTCATGGTATTCAGTCTACAACCCGGTATAGAAAGCAGGCGAATTATAAAAAAACAGTGGGCTCAGACCCACCAGCTCCTCAACGCCAACGATCCGGAGCGAAGGGAGGGAAAGCTACGAAAATCACAGCTAAATTCCGCGGACTTATGAACCAGGATGAACTACGGAAGGAACGGTACCATCAGCGACTGGTGTCGCAGCGGCGACCTCACAAAATCCTTCATAGTCAACACCACCCGTCACCTGTGAAGGCGGCGGTCGTCTCGCGATTTCGTGCATCAGGCCCAGCAACACCACTGACTCGCACGTCAGCCGAACCCTTTGATTTGGGTAGTATTGTTGGTAACGCTGACCCTCCTTCATGCACCGCGATTTTCTGTAACATGGCAGGACCGGGGTCGGACTATTTAGCGATGGAGACGGGATTTCTAGGCTGGAATAGTCTCCCGCCATTTCCCCGTGGCTTGTTGGCAAGTCCTGATATCTCAGCAGAAGTTCAGCTTGCCGTATAGGGGGAAGTGCCCAAATGGCCGCGCTGACTTGCATATCTAACACACTGTAGCTACTAATAGCCTCGTGTTTGGTCCTTCTTGATGCATCTTAATTTGCTGTACTTCTCGGTTATCTTTTTTCCCCCTTCAGACTCCTTCCTATTTGAGTAATATACTTTGTCTAATTCTTTTTGCAAGTTTCTTAACTAGAGTATCAAAGGCGTGGCACTCTTGTATTGGATTGTGGTTTCTATCTTGCTTTCACGTCTCTCACTCCATCTTCATCCTTTGTCTCTTTTTTTTATCATTGCTTTTCCTTTTCGTCTTTCCTTCTTCTCTCCTTTCCTTTCCCTTCTTTTTTTGATATGTGTTCAATTTCCTACAAGCCACGGGGATAGGGCTAGGAGGCGATGGGCCTTCGATCAGCGGGAACATAGGAAAAGTCGCCAGTGTGCAGTACAAAATAAATTAGAGGTAATGAATAAACACAATACTATCACATTTTTATTCCTACTATTCTATTGTCATTATCATTATTAGTTCTACCATCCCTGGGGAGTAGCAGCAGGAGTCCGTATCAACAGAAGATCACGGAACATATGACATGTCCCTCTTTAGTGCGGGCCGGCCACACAGCCCACATGCATCCTCAAGCGCATCCAGACCTTTAAGTGGATTCTGCATTGATAGACACTGCATGTGCTGCATGCGGCATGAATGGACTTATTTGATGGGGATGGATGACATTGTCTTACCTCATTCATGCGACTCTTTGGCAACCCACTCTCATCACCCCCTTCTGGTGCCCAAGGATTCCATCTATCTATTGACGAAAGTGGACTAACTTAAGGTAGTTCAGGGTGATCCAAGATCAGGCCTTTCTATTCGGCGGAAGAATAAGCCGTCCACAGTCGGCGTGCTGATTTGCTTCTAGATAATTCGTTTTGTTATGGTGGGGACAGTCGGTATGACTATCATTCCCATGGCTATAGTACTAATGTTATCAAGTCTCTCTATTCTGGTTGACATCAATCGATGATCGCTTTCCTCTTATATTATGTATGACGCCAATTTATACCATGTTTCTCGTTTCATACTTGCTCAGCCGCTCGAAATCACGGAAAGGGAATCGATAAAAAAGATTGGTGGAGTAGGAAAAGAGTAGATGAGATAAAGTTATATGCGGTACGGCAAAAAAAACATATATATAACTGAAGACTAGTAACACATAGCCCTAACTCAGTCAACATCACCACGTAATCTTTAATATTAGAGAAGTGAACTACTAATTCCTACTGAAGTGGTGAGTACTTAATCGCTAGCCATTAGATATAAATGTCAGAGAAAGCAAGCCTCATTCATTGTAGGGCTATTTCCGTGGAATGGGAATAGCAGGAGAAACCAGAAGACCGTCGTTCCTGAGAGTGGTCGACTCCGACCCGCTCCTTAGATTGACCGGCTGCAACTAAAAATTGTAGTCTAGCTTGGCGCGTCACACTGGCAGACGGTAACCAGTTAAAACCTCATAGGTCGTGACTCGTAAGGGTGTCTTCGACCAGCATTAGTCGTGGCACTAGTTGATGTATGAGTGACACCAGCATGAACTAACCCATTATAGTTCTACTTGACCTAAGTCAAAGGTACTTACACACCGGCTTCGTCGATCCGATAATAAGACTGGTGGGGAGGGGCGGCCCAGCAAAACAACTTCCCTTTTATTTTATTCTAATGTACAATGTACATACAGTACGTCTCTGCCTAATGGAAGAATATGTGAGCCCCCTCCATCGTCCTCCCCCTGGACCGTCAGACAGACGAGTAAGCATATTTGATACACTCCGAGTGGACAGACCAGCCAAAAAAGCAACACATCATCCACTAAACTGAATGCTCTGTGCCACCATCGGTATGGGGCTTATGGTCTTTTTAAGAGGCTCATTCGGCCTCCTGCTGCATCATGCACTGGCATCTTTAGTAGCGAATGAACTACAGTACTCTCCGATGTTGTTGCTTTTTCTTTTCATCTTGTTGTGTCCCGCTAATAAATTTATTTATATTTTATTTTTATTTATATTTTTTTTTCTATGTATTTTAATTTTAAAAATCCCCCCTCGTCTTACTTGCTCTGGACTCCTCGTGACATGACCGTCCTGACTATGCTTGATACTACTACGGCTTTGTCCCAGGGTATGGAGCCCACCTGGGCTGTCGCTGGAGTTATTGTTCGATAGCTCGGCTAAACTTTGCGCTTCTGCAGCCGATCACCATCCCCTTTGTTCCTCTTCATTCGAAACAAAAGTACGATGGATCCCTAACTTTCTTCGCTTTCACCTTCCACGCGGGCCGTACCGACGGTTTAAAAAAAGGTAAGTGGTGCACCCACTTGCATCCGTTCATTAAGCTCCGCATTGACCGGTCTTGATGCATTGCATTGCTAATCTACGTTATTTGTACGTATGTTTCAGTAAGAGCTGATGATAAGGACATAAATAAACATATACAGAGTATATTCCTTGCTGTATGTGCACATCTCTATCCCTCTTATCTCTAGCAACCTTTCATCTTTTCTCCGACTTCAGATAGAAAGTAAGGTATTAATAATATATATCAGAGACAACATGTAGAGACAATTGGATACACACACATATACACTGCAACATAATAGATCAATATCGTTTCTAATGCAGTAGTTAGTTCCATATAAACGATCCATGTTGACATTCCCCACGCCACTAACGCTGCTGATTAGGGGTCAGGACCAACTTTGTTCATGGTGAACTAATCAGACAACAGCCCGCATCCAAGACACGATAATCGCCCATAAGCCTAACCGAACTGTCGTTTCGATCAGTCACTTTTTAGATTTGTTACTATTTTAGTCAACTCCGGGGAATCGTGCCATTCAACCTAGTATCTTAGATAATGCCTATTATTGCGCTCCGGGCTAGTCGTTGCCTCCTCGTTGCCTTTCTATTCACCCTTAATTCCAGACAATAGCGTGCTTCACACTACGATTTACAATAAGAAGCATG